GAAAAAACAGCGTGTTTCTGCTTCCATTCAAAATAGGCATTTTCAAAATGATATTATAAATGATCTGTGGAGTATTTTGAGCTGAAACTTTACAGACACATTCTGGGGACACCAGAGACTTATATTACATATTGTAAAAAGAGGCATAATATGTCTCCTTTAAACAAAACAAAATGATTTCGGTTTTGTTCTCGTTTAACACTAAAAGATTCTGCTTTAACCACATTTGTAATTCGTTTAGACAATCCAACAGAGGTCCTAAGAATTCTTTACTTTTATGCTGCAAGGGAAAATACAGCTGAGTATCATCCGCGTATAGGTGGAAGGACACTCTGTATTTCTCAAAGATAGCACCCATTGGTAGCATAAATATAGAAAATAAAACTGGGGCAAGAATTGAGCCCTGTGGCACCCCACAAGCAAGTGGGCGTGAGGACGAACTATGTTGGCCAATGGAAACACTAAAATATATGTTTGTTAAAATTAGACATTAGTAACTTACTTTTAACAGCATCAGACGCGCGCGCGCTCACAAGATCTCCCGGTTCTTACTTGTGAATTCAGTTCACTGGTGACTCACACTAAACGGTTCATTTGAATCAGTGAGTTGTCGACTCGAGGACAGCTGCAATCGGTTCATTCTAATTCGTGAATGTATCGTTTGGTGTGATTTGCGAACCGATTTAACGGGTTCATTGAAAAAGAATCAGTTCGTTCATGAATCAGACACCACTTCTGCGTCTCGGAGCACGTGATATATTATAAGGAGTAATGATTAGTTTTAAGAAATGTAGTGAAGTAAAAAGTACGATCTTATGCTTTGGAATGTAGTGAATACAAGTAAAAGTTACTCAAAATAAAACTACTCCAGTAAAGTACAGATACTTGAAAAATGTACTTAAGTACAGTAACGAAGTAAAACTACTTCGTTACTGTCCACCACTGCTCAAAGATAGCACCCATTGGTAGCATAAATATAGAAAATAAAACTGGGGCAAGAATTGAGCCCTGTGGCACCCCACAAGCAAGTGGGTGTGAGGACGAACTATGTTGACCAATGGAAACACTAAAACTTCTGTTTGTTAAAAAAGATTCAAACCATTTCAACACCTATCAATCAGTTATTCAACCAAACATAAAAGTATGATAAGAATAGTCATGAAAATAGTTATGTACAAGAAACAGACTGAAATTGCATGAATGAAACTGAAGGGCTGCAACAAAGGGCAAGATTTTTGGTGAAAAACATTTCAGTCTGTTCCGCACACAAAGCCATCATGTGACTTCAGAAGACCACTTCTGGACCACTTTTAATGGTGCTTTTTGTCCTTTTTGGAGCTTGACCGCCTGTGGTCACTGTATGGAAACAGCAACTTGTTCCACATAATAAATGAAGTCACATGAGTTCAGAACAACAGAGTTTTCATTATTGGCTGAACTGCTCTTTCAAATGATGTAGGATTTTCCAGAGAAACTTTCCAACGGGGTTTTCCCTGCTCTGCTCTTTGTAGCTCGATTCTGTTCAGCAAGATCACACTTTAACAGGAATTCCACGAAAACCCAGGAGGGGACGGTCAAATACAAAAAGCAGATGCTCCGTCTGATTCAAGTGCTAATAAAGCATTTGCAGCACGTGTTTGAAGAGTCTGCGTCTGAGCCAGATTATCACACACACATACGTACCCACATACAAACAGCAGTCAGGCTCCTGCCGGCCCAGTCCATTAAGTTAAACAGGAGGAAGCAGGACACCGGGATGAAATAAGTATCTGTGAAAGAGACGGAGCAGTTGTGACACGACTGCTCTCAGTGGCAGAGAATACGAATAGGAACATCGATATAGTGACGTGCAAACACACTCACTCCAACCGTTCCCCTCTTCAACAACAGTGGTCTTGACATCAACAGTGACAGCTGGGAAGACGCCAATGGTGATGGTGAAAACAAAGCACACTGAAAGAGCCATCACCCAGATCTAAGACAGGAGAGCAGACAGTACAAGTGTTATTAGAGACAGACGTCCTGCTCTTGAAAGGCTTTATAATGCATCACTATTTTTGTTGGTTATGTGGGCAGCTGGTTGGAGTTGATACCTGTTTGAAGATGCCAAACACTGACACGGCGGGTCTGCTCTCTTCATCAGTCAGGCTCAGGACCGGCCTCTTCTCTGCATGACCTTCTACAAGCCAAGAACACAAAAACAAGTTTCTCTTTACAGGGAAACACGGATGATACGAGTCAGACACAACACCATACTTGTCATTTAGCAGCAAAAAAAGTCTTTAAACAGCATGAATAAAACAAAATACAAGAAAATAAAATATTTTAACACATAAATCGGTGTTAAAGCTTTTAAGACAAAACTCTCTAAATATAAAGTCTAAATATTTAAGGTACAGTCAATATTAATGTAAAATAAGATCAAATAAGATCAAATGTAAAATAAGATAAAAAACTCAGTGTGAATGCATTTAAGAAAGAAATCTGTTTTTTTTTAAGAGCACTAGTGTCCCAAAGTCAAAATATTTAGCGGTACGGTCAAAATTCTAAAATTACAAAATTCTAAAATACAATAAAAATAAAAAAAGCTATAAATTGAAATTTAAAAAAAGTGTTTTTATAATTACACAATTGCAAATTAAAATAATTATGAAATACAATAAAATTTAAATAAAAACAATTGTAAAAAATTACATAAATTGAAATTTTAAAAAAATATATTTTTTAATTCATTTAGACAGGACTCTGCAGTTTTTAGATGCACTAGTGTTCCTACGTTAAAATATTTAGAAGGTCAAATAAAATCATCTGAAGCACAAATAAATTATCTCAAAATTTTGACGAGATATGTCTGTATGTTGTCTGAATATCAATTCAGTTTCTTGAGGATTGGTAACCTTCAGAAGGCACCATCTCTATGACCTGATTTATACTGCATTCACAAACTTTGCAATATTAGAACTTCGGCATGTTTTCTCTGTTAGCTTGTGTGATATGAAATAAAATGAAAAGCAGTCATTCACAGTGTGAAACCTAACCTGTCTACAAGGTTGGATGCATTGCTAACTGTGTTTTTTATTCCAGTGCTCTCATATATTTATTCACAAGTGTTTGATCAGCATTAGACAACATCAGATGTTTAGAGAAACATTTCTGATAAACGCTGGACATTACCTGGCTTCAGCAAATCCATCTTGTTTTCCTCATCAGAGCTGGATCGGGAGCCATTGCTCTCAGAATAATACTGGAAAAACTCCTGCAGAACAAATACTTTTAGTTTTTAACATGTCAACATCACAACATAATTCTCAGCATTGATTAGTGGAAATGAAACGCAGATGTGAGTTTACATCATACCATTTTAGGCAGAGCGAAGTAAGAAACGATGGCCAGGAGAATAACCACACAGGCAGTGATGAAGTAACCGAACGCACTGTCCTGTAACGCTGAGCCCGCTGGAAAAGACAAGAACACCTGCAACTAAACAGTCATTTCTGTGGCTTCAAAACACAGATTTAGCTATTTAGAAGTGCTCATGGAAGTCAATGTAGAAATGTTTTTTGACATATAAACACACATTATCACTTATCAACTACCAACTACGTGTTTGAATTTACTTTGAATTTGTCCAGTCAGTGCAATTTTAGTGTTTATACACTATTACTGTATTAATATTTTTTATTTTCAGTTTCCTTTTAATGTTAGTAATTTGATGTGCATTTGTAAGTTTTATTAGTTTTAGTTAAAACAATTATTTTGCCTTATTTATTTTTATTTCAGCTTTAGTACTTCAATTTATGCTTATTTTATTTCATTTAGTTCCCAAGGTAATATTTCCAATTTTCATTTAGTTTATGTTCAAGACAAGACAAGATAAAAAAAAATAATAGATTATTTTTAATTTCAGCTTTAAACATATTTGAATCTACTTTGAATCTTTTGGTTCAGTGTTATTTTAGCATTATTTAGAACCTATAGTATTTATTAATATTTTAAATTGTAATATTACTTTCAGTAAAATTGTTATGCGTGTTTGTCCTTTATATTAGTTTTATAAAGAATATTTCTATTTAGCTTTTTTTTTTCTTCCAATATTAATTTTAGTGCTTCAACTTATTTTAAGTTAGCTGCCAAGGCAAGATCCCTCGACTTTTTTCAGTTTAAGTTTTTTATCTTATATTAATTGTTATTTTTATTTCAGCTTTAAACATCTACTTTGAATCAGTTTTGTCTAGTGTTAAGTATTACGTATACCCTATTATAATATTTATTAATATTTTAATTTTTTTGTTTCAATAAAATTGTTGTGCGTTTGTCATTTGTATTATTTATAGCTTTTTTAATATTTCCATTTAGCTTTAATTTCATTTGATTTTATTTCAGCTTTTTTCAATTGACGAAGCTATCTTTATTAGTTGTAGCTAACAATAACAAAGCTGGTTTGGAATTTTCCACATTCCGGTTCCTCCGATTTAGAAAAGAAGAAAATAAAGAGAATGGCAAAAGATGAGCACATACAGGCGAGCGCACAGATCATGGAGAAGGCTGCAAACGTCCCTGCCAGGCCTTGTCCGCTCATGATGGGCGTGGTGTAGGACGCTGGGAGCATCCCAGCCAAACCAAACAGACTCCCTTGCAGAATCGCCCCGAACGCTGCAGAAAGAGACAGCGAAGCAGAAAACGATGGTTAAGATTAGAGATAAATGCACACAGAAACACGTAAAGGTCGTGATAACACATTTCTGAGAGTTCACTGCTGTACGATCTTATATATATATATATACACATATATATACATAAACATATACATAATATATATATATATATATACATATATATATTTAAATTGAACTTGACAGTTTAAAAAATGTATATAAATATATATTATATATACAATTACAATTATATACAATAATTACATTTAAAAAGGTATGTAAAATAACTAGATTAAATACATTTATAATTATAGATTTGTCATCATTAGAATTTTTATAAAACATTATAAAAAATTATAATAATTGCTTCTAGTCTTTCTCAATCATTGAACAAGATTTAGCTTTTGAAATCAGGTTTTAATTGAGCCATCACATTTTCAAAGAGTCTTAATATCAGCCAGAACAGAATTTCAATGCGCTTCAATGTCCAGTCGGGTGTTTAATAAAGCCATATTGAATCTTTTAAATGAATGTGTTAATTATGTGGGGGCTTTAATCTGTATAATATGAAATGCAGCGGTTGGCCTCACCTCTGATGAATGAAGGAGTTGAGGCAGGTGAAAATCAGCAGCGGTACCATGGCACACAGCGTCATCACGTTGTTGAACTTTGACTCGAAGACGTTACGATTGTCTATCGCCACCGTCACATTGGCTGTCAGATTGTGTTCTCCGTTTTTCAGACGGCTGGTAAAGTACTGCAGAACAATAAGACGACAATGAGAGCTTGAGCGGTACACTTTGTAAAGTTATGTTCCTTTATGAGGGCCGGACAAGCCATAATTCATTCTGTCGCTCTCACACACTTACATTCTCCTTTCGCATACATATATTTCTACTCTCCCACACTTGCATTCTTCTTTCATATTCATATATTTCTACTTTCACACACATTCTTCTTTCACATACATATACGCTTCTGCTTACATATATATACTTTACTTTTCAACATATACATGTATTCGGACTTTCACACAAATATATTTACATTCCCACACACATGTATTCTTTATTCTTAAATACTTATATTCTAACTCACATACATGTATTGTCACTGTCACATTTCACAGTCATATGCATATCTCTTTTTTTTTTTTGCTATCCATTGCTTCCTTTTTAAGCAGGAAGTCACTATTAAAACAGGAAATACATATGCAAGACTTGCTCAGCTCATCCAAACACAACTATACTATTATGCTATTCAAAGTCATCCTGTTTTCTTTTCCAAGTACAGTTTTTAATTATTATTATTTATTTATTTTTTATTGCATTCTGTAACCTACTCGTTCTAGAGATCTTTGTACAAGTTATGATACTGATTTGGATAGTGTTGACAGGGCTCAATGTTAAGAAATTTTTTTTTTTACTGTCCCAGTTGTTTATTTTAATACAAACTGTTGTTTTAATAATGAGGAGTAGTCTATATTGAGTTTGTCTTTAAGTCTTTATCATCTTAGTCTGTTATGCCACATAAAGCATTTTGCGGTATGGGAGGAAAACACTACATACACATAGATATATAGTACATTTTATTAATAAACTGTATATCAAATTTGGTCTTTTAATGTCACTGTCTTATGCATTAAGCCATATTAAGTGTTAATGGAAGACTTTGCGCATTGCGTTCATATTCTCAATTCCAAATTATGACTTGTGCGGCCCTTCATATTACTTTAAACGTCATAGAATCGAATTTGCATTTATAAAAGAAAAATGTTACAGGTGCATTTTTATGTTTTTTGCTAATATGAAACATAATCTGAACCAAATAGTCATTGTTGCCTAGTACACTCAATTCACAGGTTGATGCGCTTACAAAATGCATAGTTTAAAAAAAAAAAAAAAACTGCAGAATTGTAGTTCATATCACAATATTTTAGAGCATATTAATGTGCTCAATGAGAAAATTTTAATGTCAAGCTAGCTTAAAGCCTTTCTTCAGACATTCTGAATACAACAATCATTAAATGAACCATGAAAAAAATTCTATAAATCTTCAAAACTCAACTTAAGATATTTTTAATGAAACCTGTGAGGTTTCTGTCCCTCCATTAAAAGTCCAATTAACCAAAAAACCAATCATATAAAGTGATCATATTAAACTGCAGAACTTGTATGGATTCATTTTACTATACCTTTATAACCTTTTTCGGTTTCTAAGTTTTGGGGACAGTAATCTCTCATGTTTCATTAAAAATATCTCTACTTGACGTTTCAAAGACTATACAAAGTCTTATGGGTTGAGATTGAAAGACATGCAGGTGAGTAAATTATGATAAAAATTCAGTAAATTGTGTTCTTTTTTTCTGCTACTGATCCTGTTCTTTACTAAATAACCATAAGATTGACATTTAATCATTTTGTACGCTAATATAACAATATAGAGCAATAAAAAGCTATATTTACCTGCATAAAAGGTTTTAAACATAATCCCCAAATAAAAGATGCATTAAAGCAGCACTATGTAACTTTTTCTGTGTTCAAAATTAGCTAAATGTATATAATGAGCGAGTACATCATGAATTCATCTTCCAAACCGCGTTTTTGTCTTATTCCGAATCACTATGGTACATGTTTATTAACCGCTAGAGCGCCAAAAGTTACATAGTGCTGCTTTAAAAGCAATATTCATTGTTGCTTCATTTTATATTGTCAAAACCCTTTGGGGAGGATGGGTACTCCGAATCCAATAGAGTTCACAATGTGCCATTGAAGTTTGTCATTAACAGTGGTTTCAACGAGACGATTGTTACCATGGTAGCAGTCATGAAGAAATTCCATGGCAGCAGAGTTCCCAGGCCCAGAATGAAGAATATGATCCATACAGCATTATACCTGGAAGACATGTCACATTATTCACATGCAGTTTCATTATTGATCATTTGTTTCATATGAGAAAGTTGCGCTCAAACATTTACCTGTCTCGCGGAGCGTTGGCGGCTGTCATTGTGTCTGTCTGACGGATGTGTCACTGATTCAGAATCTGGCATCAAATCTGAAATCACATGGAGACAGCCTTCATTCAGTGATAATGAAGCACAACGCCACAGACGATCTATTGTTTCATCATTTCAACCCCAATAAACACATTATAATGAAATGTTCAGCTTGAAAAGTATGCTTGTGCTGCGTTTCTGCTTTGATATACTAATGATATTTAGACATTTTTAAGAATGACTAAATGTCCAAATACGTTTAAAAATATGATTCTGTTAATGGATATTCTGGCAGCACCAACACAAACATACTGTAATATCTAAATGAATGTCTAAATTTTCACTTCAGTGTCATTTTTCCATGTGCTTCCAATTAGCCTAAATCTCTAAAACAATATTTTGAATATATCACATATTCTGCTTAGAGGCATAGAGTTCAAAAAACAACAAAAAATTAATTTCCTGAGCTCAAGCGACAGATTGTCTGGATTTGAGAAAAATGTCCAACCCTCAAGGAACGAATCACAAAATCCTCTGCACTCAAGAAAGGGCAAAATATCGATTAATCCTGCAATTCTTTGAGAATATAAATAAACGAAGAATGAGAAACTAATGAACTCCAGGACGGAACAACCTCAGTGTTTCTACTTGCTGGAATTTCCATTAATATTGATAGCTGTGAATTCAATTTTTTTATGTATTTGTATGGCACTTTTTACAGTTTAAGTCTTGGAAATGGATTCTGTTGCTCTTAAATGATGTGCTTCAGCAACTTGTTTCAGATAAACTTGTTTCAGATAAATGAGAGAGTGTGATGTCGGTTTCTACCATCTCCATGGACCATAATAAAGCTTTCTGTATGTACTAATCTGCTTAAATTATGTTGTTTATGGTGCATAAACAAATATGGATGCCTTATTGATGACAACCTTGAAGACATGCTTGAAACTGATGCATCGTCCTCCTCCAAAAAGCATACTTTCAGCAGTCGCATAAACAAACTTCCTGATCTTTCTGTACACACAGTGCACACTGAAGTACTTTTCATTCAAACAGCTGTCATGATCTACAAAACAGACCTCTTAGTGAAGAGATTTATTGGCTGACAGGAGGTCAAAACATGGGACGCCATGTAATCAACCATTTTTTATGCTGTTTTATTGTATGTTAAAACATTCTTCATGGAGAGAAGATTCATTTGAAAGAAATGTCAAAGTTGCATTTCATAGTGTTGTACCATTTCTTAAAAATGATGACAATTAATGAAAAATAGGTTTTCTCCACAGCTACCAGAATTGTGTTCAATAATCAGTATTTTTCAAAGAAACGTGCTTTCTTTTCTCTGCTCTTCTCCTCTGAAAATGTAATGATTTCGCTGCATTAGAAAATAGAAAAATTTCTCTATAAAATTTCTCTCTCTCTATTTCAAACAGTATAACAGCTCCACCTTTCCATGTGCATTTCCAATGCATCATCATGACTGAATCAGCCTGTCTGAACAAGACCTTTGAATCAACCAATTTACACAATTGATGTGATTTGACCAAATTGTGTTACACAACCATCGGAAATCTCAGTCACGCTGAGAGAATCTGACTGGAGTTGGATTGACCTAACTCTTGTGATCACATGTCCAAACTACTTTCTAAAAAAATAATCATCTCTTACCAATACAGGCACTTTATGCTTTCATGAGACAACAATATTAATCTGATCACCACTTAAACCAAGTCAAGAAGCCCTTTATAATGCATTCAGCTGCAGAAACTCTATATTTCACTTCAAAGTTAAACGGGAGATCATTCGATTAGTGGAAGCAATACATGCTGTGGGTTAGCTGACAATGACTGAAAGCTAATGAAGCATTTCCACCTTGACCGGACTTCTCTGCTCTAGGGTCGGCAGGCATGAGAGCTTGTGTGGAACTCCAGGAATGGACGGCTATATCAACAAAACCTGATGTGATCACACTGGTCTCAGAACTACATTTATATAAAATGGGTTTATGATTTCATAAAGGCACAACCAAATGTTTGAACAACATCTGATGAAGTGCACTAAACGCACAAAAAATGCCATTAATGCAAGTATGCAAAATTAAAAATGACTGTGTATATTATTAAGATTCAAAAGTTTGGTGTCTGTATGATTTTTTTAATGTTTTTGATAGGAATCTGTATGAAAAACATTTTTTAAAAAGTTGCCTTTATTCTACAAAAATATAGTAAAAACAGCATTATTATGAAATACTATTACAATTTAAAATGTTTTCTACTGTATTATAAATTCAAATGTAATGTATTCCTGTGATGCAAAGCTGAATTTCCAGTATGATAACTCCAGTCTTGAGTTTCACATGATCCTTCAGAAATCATTCTAATTATGCCGATTTGCAGCTCAAGAAACATTTATTATTATGCAAACAGTTGTGTGGTGCTTAATATTTTTGCAGAAACCGTCATACATTTTTCAGGATTTTTTAATGAACAGAAAGTTCAAAAGAGCAGCATTTATTGAAATAGAAATCTTTTGTAACAATGTCTTTATCGACACTTTTGGTCAGTTTGATGCATCATTGCTGACTAAAAGTATTAAATTATTTAAAGAAAAAAGTTGAATGTTAGTACAGCATATATTATATGAATATTTTGAAGGAGTATATGCATTTATATATACTTTTTATATTTTATAAATAAATGTATTAATTATTTAAATGTATTTATAGTTAGTCATAATAATATCCAAATTGTTTCATTCTTATTCATATACACAATAATGTTTAAAAGACATCCTTCTTTATTCATTAAAAGCCTTATATCTGCTAATAACCAGTCCCATTACACTTTTCCAAACCCTTGCAAATTACATCTCTGATTTACAGTGTACAATCACTTCCAGATCAGCTCATGTGCCAAATCTGAAAGAGGTCATCTAAACCTTCCATTTCTACACGAGCCAATGCGCACACTGTCACAGCCACACTTCACAAATTAATCCCAGCAGCCTGCAATCACTCAGTCACCCGCTTTGGTACACCTCCCACGTCCTGAAAAACACCTCTGGCCAGTTTCCCGGACCGTCCTCTGACACGGCTTCCTGGGACTGTGCTTCTAAAAGCTCCCTCAGGGGCTCCATGTTTCACAACAAAGCTGCAGGCTCCTGAAATAGTCTGTCTGTTGGGGTGTTGAGCCTTGAGTGGACCTGGCGAGAGGGTCTGTAACCTGAGAATATCAGCAGTGCATCCAAGAACAAGCTCAGGACAGATTTCAGTTCAAGAGGCCCTGCAAACCAATTCTAGCAGTCCATCCACAGCACAAGAACAAGGAGACGGGTGGGAATTTTATTAAGAAATAAATCATTCTGGTGCAGATTCACTTATAGGGTTAGTTCACCCAAAAATGAAAATTAGCCCATAAATGACTCACCCTCAAGTCATCCTAGGTGTATATGACTTTCTTCTTTCAGACGAATCCAGTCGGAGTTATATTAAACATTGTCTTTGATCTTTCAAGCTGTTTAATGCCACTCAGCGTGTGTTGCATGCATCAGTTCAAAAGAAGTTAAATAAAAAGCGCCAATCCTTAATAAAAAGTGTCTCACACGGCTCTGGGGGGTGAACAAAGGCCTTCTGTAGCGAATCGATGCGTTTTTGTAAGAAAAATATCCATATTCAAAATGTAATAATCACTTTAATGTAGCTTGCGCTGACTGTTGTACACTGGAAGCAGTTCCGGGCGGATGACGTATGAGGTCAGCGTTGTGCTTGCGCCGGTGAGTCTCGTGAAAACCAACGTTTGTTTACAGGATCAAAGGAAGCAAAGTTTCCTTACTTTAGCAAAGGACAACCAGTCTCCTCTTGGCTTATATCGAAATCCTCCGACATTCTTCTTTACAAATCCTCGTTTTGTACTTCTAATAAGTAACCGTTGTTTGTTTTGTTTTGATCTCTCCGCTGTGTTTCCGCGTGCGTCACTTCTGAGCGGCGCATGCGCAAAGCAGACCTCCATACGTCATCTGCCCGGAGCTGCTTCCGTGTACAACTGTTGGCGCAAGCTACATTAAAGTGATTATTACGTTTTGAATATGGTTATTTTTCTTACAAAAACACATCGATTCGCTACAGGAGGCCTTTGTTCACCCCCCGGAGCTGTGTGAGACACTTTTTTTATGGATGGGCGCTTTTTATTTAACTTCTTTTGAACTGATGCATGCAACACCCGCTGAGTGGCATTAAACAGCTTGAAAGATCAAAGACAATGTTTAATATAACTCCGACTGGATTCGTCTGAAAGAAGAAAGTCATATACACCTAGGATGACTTGAGGGTGAGTCATTTATGGGCTAATTTTCATTTTTGGGTGAACTAACCCTAACATTCAAAAACAATTCAGAAACCAAACATCATGAAATTAGTTTATGGAATTCCGGTATTTCTTTACTGTAATGGAATATTAGAATATTTCGAATAAAAATGGTTCCCAATTCCCAACTCAAGACCTGGTTGAATTTCACAATTGTTACTACATTTAAAAAAAAATACAGTTTCCAAAAGAGGGTTTTTGCAGCAATGCAATGCACAAACCATATTTGTATCCCCAATAATCTTTTTAGCAATCAGTTCTTTAAAGAACCATTTTTTCTCAGTGTGAAGAATATTTCAATAATCTAAAGAACCTTTTCCACTGTAAAGTATGGCTGGGCGATATATAGAATACTAGAGATATTGTCATGAATAATGAATATACAATTACAGAATATCGTGAATATCGAATATTGTTAAAAATTAAGATTAATGTGCCAAAGACGGCACCGACACACTTAAAAATAAAAGATTCTTCATTGGCATTGATGGTTCCATGAAGAACCTTTAACATCCATGGAATCTTTCCATTCCGCAAAAGGTTCTTTAGATTATTAAAATGTTCTTCACACTAAGAAAAAATGGTTCTTTTAAGAACTGTTAGCTGAAAGGTTCTTTGGGGAACCCAAAAATGCTTCTTCTATGAAATAACTGTGAAACCTTTATTTTTAAGAGTGTAGCTTGCTGCGATAGACTGTGTTTTCGGTTATACCGATGTTAAGCCGCAACACCGGTTACGTCATTTGCCTACCGCGGCACCGCCCCCCCGTTTTGATTTTTTTATAGTAACAAAAATCATTTAGCCTAGTTCGGTTAGAAGACAGACACTTTTAAAAACTAAACGCTCAATGCAGCGTGCCGAACCGTGCGCGAACGACAGTGCACCACGGAGCAGGAGTCAAATTTTATTTATCACGTGAGGAGAGGTTCCACAGTGTTTGCGGATTACTTTATTTAAACTTTGTGTATTTTATTTATTTTATTTTACATCAAGGTGTATATGCCGTGCCTCCAAGCTTTCTTATTAGTTTTGCTAATAAACGTTCTATGTTTCTTATTTATTTGGTTCCACATATATAAATGCGCACTGCACTTTTACAAGCCATTTGAAAGCGAAGAAAAAAGGGAAACTCAAACGAACTAACACACCACCCCCACCCCAACAGTGATACCGGTATTATCGGTGTTGTCACACGTCGATTAACCGGTGGGAAAATGTCCTCACCGTCACAACCCTAGAGTGTAGGCAATTTCACTCCTGCAAACTATAGCCAAGAAATGCTTATGTGGTTCAGCAACTAGGCTAGTTTCCCATCTGAAAGAGTTTCAGTCCCAGTGGGAACATAGTGTTACAGAGCATCTCTTAAATCAGAAACCACTGATAAACTTGTGTTCTCAGATACAAATCCCAGCTGCACAGGGCAAAATGCAGTATGTGAATTGCACTGATCTAAAGAAGCTGTTAGAATGCACTTTTTGCACCCATATCTCAGCCCTAGATATCGTATCTCCTTTATAGGTATATCTCAGCCCTATTAAGAACCTTTTGTGCAATGCAAAGGATGTTAAAGTTTCTTCATGCAACCACTGATCGAGTAAAGAACCTTTATGTAAAGAACCACCCCACCTGTGCCAAACAATACCCAATTTCTATAACAAATATGGGTTTAGTGTTGTCACAGAAGAACAGCAGGTCATGATTACATTTATTTTCCGTGACTCATTCTTAAAGTGCTATGAGGCAACTGGGCGGCAGGCCTGTTTTCTCTACTCTGGATATCATTCGAGAGTAAGAAACTCACAATTGGCTGGAGCGTGACGCCATTTAATTTGCCCTCTATTCTCATCCTCAAGGAAACATTTATGAAAGCATGAGTTTGACTTTCTGCCATGTTACCAAAGGCAAAAACTGGATTGAAATAAACAGTGCAATATGTCAGCTTATTTATGCCGCATGTTTCCTGTAAAATCAGAACTCTATAAAACCACTCCAACCTCTTGAAATCCCCAACCCTAGTTTTGCTTTAAACTACTTCAAATAACATTGACACCACTTTTTAATGCCTTAATATGACACACATAGGAGTTCAATGCGAAAAAATGAGGATAGGGCGTTGGGTTGTGAAAACTAGGTGTTAGATACCAGAATGTATAGCCAGTTGGTTGGAGGCAAAGGGTTGCAAGTTGCCTTTGTGATGTCAGAAGAAAAGGAAAGTTATTTCTGAGTTAATGCATTCTGATAAACGATTTTAATAAAGCAAACAATTTGTCATAATTTTGATTTTGTTGACTTCTGAAAATAGAGGTACTAGTTCTGTATCTACAGACTGTATTTGCAGAATAATATGCAGGTTTTGTGCTGACAGCTGCACACAATACCACTTATGAAACCCTCCTTGGCAGTTTTACGCCTAACACAAGCATGCAGTCAGAGTTCTCTGCGCCAAAAAAAAAACCCCGCGCGCGTTTCATAAAACTGTCAAGCATAAGCTACATAGTAAACATCACAGCATCATTTCACTTGCCTCTATGTCCATTTCAAGTCACCAACCAATGTACATATCACTGAATGTATTCATACCACACAACCCCAAAGTTATTAAAATAAAAGCATACAGCGTGTTAAGTTGTGAATGACTTCACGGCGCGTGCCAATATACATCATGTCCCCTACACGTGGTGAGCAACAATCAATCAAATTATACTCTGTTTGACACATTCTCAAACCTAATCAACACATATCTACAAATACTAAAGAGAACTTGGTTATAATAACTATCGCCGTGTGTTTCGCTAAGAATGTTTCTAAAAGTCGCGAATAATTTGGCGCTAAATTTAACCTGCTCTCGCACGCTACATATAAAACAACACAGCGCGGCACTTAAATCCACGTGTTTGAAAATACTGGACGCACTTGTTCAACTTTTGACCATCGATGTTTGAAAAGACCGGTTTCAAACGAAAATGTTCACAACAGTAACTCACGCGATAAAAGTGAACGTCAGAAAAGTGCATGAGATGAGTAAAGTACTGTAGTAAAACCGAGTCCTACCTTCACGTGCGGAGAGTAGAAGAGACTGCGGAGTCTGAGGGGGCTTAACACAAAGACGCGAGCTGTGAGGACTGAGGAGGGACTCTCCCATCCACACACTGATGATGATGATGATGATGATAGCTAGGGCTTGACTAAAGTAGGCTGCAACACAGTTTGATTATACTAGATCTTGATCTTTACCTTTTCAGTAATAACAACAACAGTACTGCTGCATTAGGCCTAGCCTATATATCATGTTTAGGTCGGACTAAAAACGTTTCTGTTTCATATATAACGTTACAGTACGAATTAAAAGTTTGGACACACTTGACAGTGTTTAAGTGCTTCAAATGAGTTTTCTTGAGAAATGTAACTTGTGCCAACTAATGAATTTCTTCACAGACACATTTTCTATTATCTTCACGTTCATTCATTCATTCAGTCATTCATAAAGAAAGAAAGAAATGGATTGGAATGTTTCATAGTTGATAGAAACTCTAAACATGGAAATCCATGAAGTAGATTGTGAGAATGTTCTAAAAATTACACAAAAACAAGCTCAAATGTATTTGCATTTGTTATTTCATAGTTTTGTTGTCTTTATTGTTTCTTCTAAATGGAAAATAGTCATAATAAAAATCATTATGCGTCTAAACTACTGAATGCACTGCCCAAAACTTAACACAAAGGGCTAAAAATTGTGGGCCAAAAGTAAATGTTGCATTATATCTAGGCTAACTATATTATATAAAAATGTATTAAATTAAAAATAAATACATAAACAAAAAATTAAATAATTATTTGACATTGTAATTTTTTTTAAATCACAATGTTTTTTGTTTTTGTTTTTTTAATGCAGAAATACAACAAAAATTGCTTTTTTTGTGTTATGGCAGGATGGGCCAAATCCAAAGTCATCACGGACCAACTTTGGCCCTAGTTTGTACATATCTGCTGTTCGGTCATGAATGAGGTGCTACAATCCGTCATGGCCAAATATAACATCCCCTACAGCATGTGACCGCAAACTTTGCACTTTGCCTTGCCTGTTGACAATGACAGACATCTGTTGTTCTGTTAGTAGTGAGGAGATGCACACCTTCCATGTGACATTTCACACCCAGAGGAACGAGGGTCTGCTGTCAAACTCACATGAGCTGAAAACTCCCATCAGAACACAGCTGCACTTTCTGAGGTTCCTGAAGAGTAATGACAACTGTATGTCTTTATCGCATTTTCAAGGACATGTGATGTCTACAGTGTTTGTTTAAAGGGGTCATATGATGTTGCTAAAAAATTGACGTAGGTATGTTGGGGCGTGTTAGAACGAGCCGTTTTAGGTAGGCGTGATTGACTCTTAACTTTTATAAAGAATATCTCTTTGGTTTTGAGACTTTAGTCTTTGCAACTTTACAGATCTTCTTTATGCACCAAGAGCTTGTAACACTCCAAAGAGAAAGGAAAAATTTAAATCGCATCATATGACCCCTTTAAAGCGCAGGTATTTAGTCACTGTCATGTGCAGAACAAGTCTGAGGTCTACTAAATTTAGATTAATTATTTCTGCTGTTGTTTATCTCTGCATGGTGGCACTAAAAATATTCAGGTTTTCCAAGCATTATCATGTATTCTTTTGTAAGTCCTAAAAGTGAATGAATGAAGCAAAATAAGTGATATATCCCTGGAAGTATTTCATAGGCATCAATTTTCTGCCACGGAAAAAAAAGATGACTGCGACTTTTTATCTCACGGTTTAGATGAGAAAGAAGTCCCAATTCTGAGTTCACATATCACAATTTAGTTTTTGTTTTGTTTTTTCAATTGTGACTTTTATCTTACAATTCAGATTTTTCAGAATTCTGAGGAAAAATCAGAATTGTGTCGACGCCGATGGCCTCGTGGGCAGCGCGCCGACGTACAGCGCCAAAAGCGCTTCGGGTGTCACGAGTTCAAGTCCCGGCTCACGGACCTTTCCCGATCCCATCCCCCTCTCTCTCACCCACTTCACTTCCTGTCGACCTATACTGTCCTATCAAAATAAAGGCATAAAACGCCATAAATAAACCTTAAAAAAAAAAAATCTGAATTGTGAGGAAAAAAGTCAGAATTATGAGTTATATCTTACAATTCTGAGTTTGTCTTGAATTTCAGAATTTTCTTCTCAGATTTCTGAGTTTACATTTTGAATTGCGAGAAAATGTCTGAACTGTGAGATAAAAAGTCGCAATTACCTTTTTTATTTTTAACCTGTGGTGGAAACAAGATTAGTACTGCAAGATTTAAACTCAGAATTCAGAGAAAAAATATAAAATTAAATCAAAGTTGACTTCTTTTACACTTAATTATCTTATTTTACATGATTCCTCAGTGGATTGTAAAGAAAACGTGTTCGTCTTCATAATCATTGAACCTCAAAATGACTTAACGTTAATCAAATAGCGATTTAGGCATCATTTTAATAAAAACACTTTCAGGTCTAGCTCCATTCAGCAACTTTATTATGGTACACTCAATTCCTCATGTGCATGAATATCCTGGTTCACACAGACATACGTGACATCAGAGGAATGAAATGGCTTAGAAATGTCATTTCTTGTTTTTAGATCTACTGTGTGATTTGTAATTCAAATAGTTTAACAAATAAGTCCAGTAAACAAGATGATGTTCATTTTCGAAGTACTTTGAATGTATTGTGTCTTGTTATGACTTGTTTACGTCTGTAGGTTGGGTTCTGTGTCAGATGAATTTGTATGTTTAAAATAGAACTGGCAACCGTGTTGTATTCTTATGGGCTGCCGCTTGACTATAACCGTGTGGTTAGACTCTGTTTGCACTTACAGTCCGACCGCTTCCACCTACACCCTGTCTAGTCTAAAAGCAGTCGTGGTTGGAGTGAGACAGTCTCTCCATGGACGTGAAGTTTAACAAGTAAACATCCAAAAAAAGTGGGAGGGGACAAAAACTTCTTAGGTAATGTAACTTAGAATAACAACCATTATCGGCTTCAAAATGAGTGCTACAACCTGGCAGCATTTAGACTGACGTCCAAGAGCCTTCACCGCAACACTGCCTCCATTCAAACATAATTCCTAACCATGCAGAAAGTGAAGGGTGCATGAAGTGTCAACACTGTGCTGTTGATCTGGGTCATAAGCTCTGTTTGCTTCAGGAAGAGTGTTCCGGAAATTCAAGTCACTTTGGATGAAATCAATCTGTTAAAAAACAAGTATTTGATATGAAAGAAAATAGGATGTTTTTAAGAGTAAATGTCAGTCATCATCTTTAGGAAATTGCTGACATTATTTTTCCAAGGTCAGTTGATCTGGAAAGAGAAACGCTGGGAATAAGAAAACTGAATTCAATCGGTAAAATGTTGCAGATATTTAAAATCCCTTTTGAAAAGTGAAACTCCACTTGAAGAGTTCCAGTGCAAAAGCCTCTAAAAGCCATCTTGGTCAAAAATGAGATAACAATACTGAGTGAATGCTCTTCACACATAGTATATGTTCAGCAAGTACTTTCACTTCAAAAGCGCTAAATCCCAGCCTCAACCCATTCAGAAGTACCAGTACTTACATAGAACCCTATACATAGTAGCCAGAAAGAAATGGTCATTTTAAAGAAAAACAGCTTTTGCATCTGAACTCTTCACTTGTACAAGGGTGAATAAATAATACCATATTTTGGGTGAACTACTCCTTAAAAAATTTATAGATAGATAGATATATTATACACACATACTGTATATCCTGTGTCATGAAGCTTTGTTTGGGAGACATAAATGAATATAAAGCACTTATGTGCCCAAAGGCACATTAAATCTGTGTGCAGTATGTCATGTACCTGGCAGGACAGAGGAACAGGAGCTGAGCACATGGCAGTGCAACAATCTCTGTAGCATGTGAAATGAAATCAGAGCTGCTCAGTCACCCCTCAACTTCTGTCAGCTCAGAGGACTCGGCTTTGGATTTGGATCTGGTTTTAATAGGTAAATTATTCAGGCATTAGATATAATATATATATATATATTAGACTTCTATAAATATGTTTTAATAAATAGCAACGCCCCCACCACAACCACAAAGCCTATTACATTTTCTTGAGAAAATGTAAAAAAGCATTCATATTGTGGCACTGCTGTTTACCCAGCATGCTTTGCGGCTGGAGTCATATCAAAAGGAGTTTAAACTGATAACTTGCTAAGAATATAAAGGTGTATAAAATGGGTTTAGGGGTGTGCTCGTGGTTGACTGTAGCTGCAGTTTATGCTCTTGCATGTTAAGACATTCACTTTTTGAGTCAGGTGAATTTTTAAAAAGTCATTAACTGAGCTGCAGTGCTCAAACTATTTAAAATATAGTGAATTAAGCTACAAACTCGATCATAATGCACAATGTTTCCATACAACATGTATTTTGAGCTGCAGCTCGTCATATTAATGGAGTATTTCACTAGTTAGCAGTAAACCAGTAACCTCACCTAAGTATGTTTGTAGATTTGTGTTGGATGTTTTCTTTGAAATGGAAATATTAATATTCTATTTGTAAACAGCATTTTTTTTTTTTACTTATTTCAGTTGACATCAACTAGCGAGCTAAGCCAGTGGTTTGATCATTTGATTCAGATCAGGACTTCAAATCGGCGTTTCAGAAAGGCGGGGCATAGAGGAGAAACAATAATGTACAGTATGTGGAAAATAATGTGTTTTTTTAACCTTAAACCGCATAAACACATTTCATTACACCAAATACACAAAATAATGTTCTTTTTAGCAGCATCATATGACCCCTTTAAATCAGAACTTCGAAGCGGGTTTGTGAATCTTTTGATTCAGATTGCTACAAATCTCTTATGAAAATTAACCATGGTTTCATTACAGTAAAAGTGTAGTAATCACAGTTGTGCTACAAATACCATGGTTATCTATGGTGTAGCAAAACCATGGTTAATTTGTGGTTACCATGTGTAACCACAACAGTAACCATGTGGGGTTTTTTGGTAAAAACCATGGTTAATTTTCATAAGGGATGTGTTGTCAAGTTAATAAAAAAGTAATAAATGTACACCTTAAGAGGACACATAGAATGAATATAGAGATGCAGTTTACACTGTTTTAAGCTTAACAGAAATTTGGATAGTTTCTATGT